ATTTCCTGTGGATGTGTGAATACTTGAATGCTTAAGATAGCCACATTCAATGACTAGCTGTATGTGTAAGCAAAGTCATACCATTTTAAAACGTAAATCAAATGTCATACTTTCGTTTGGATGAAGCCAAGTGACCCAAAAACTCTGGGAACACATTTTAGTTCATTTAGACCAGGGCTGCCCAATCCCAGTCCTCGAGAGCTCCCCACACACCCGAATCAAATGAATGGCTTATTATCAGGCCTTTGCCAAACATGATGGCATGCTGAAGAGGTAATCAAACCATTTGATTCAGCTGTGTTGGAGTAGGGATGCATCTAAAAGCTGCAGGATAGTAGCTCTCGAGGACTGGGATTGGGCAGCCCTGGTCTAAATGAACTAAAACGTGTTCCCAGAGTTTTTGGGTCACTTGGCTTCATCCAAACGAAAGTATGACATTTGGATGGACCGGGATTGGGCACCCCTGATTTAGACTACCCTTTAGTATTATGCTAGCCTTCATTTTTCTCTCAGTCAAATTTAGGGATGACAAACTCATTTTACATTGTGGGAAACATGGAGCCCACTTTAATCTTAAGCGGGCCAGACCAGTAAAGCCGCCATTTCTGTCAGTGGAAAGAACTTTAATCTTTAGATATCCTAATATAAGAAAAATAAGTGATTTTTTACAGTTTTTCTACAGAAATGAAGAGAAATGCTGCTCTGTTTAGTGAAAGACATCCAGTCCAGGGAGCTGGGTTGGAGTCTTTGCTGGGTGGATTTTGGCCCCTGGGCCTTATGTTTCGAACCCCAGGTCTAACTAGAACAAAGCACCCTGGAGCTTTTGAAAGCTTTTCCTTGACCTCTCCCTGACCTCTGACACTTTTGTCCCTTCCCAAGTGCTTGTGCCCCAACTGCCCTTGGGCCAATACCTTAAAGCTCTATTATTATTGTTATAACTCTTACTATAACTATTTGAATAGTGAATCTGGAAGGGATACACTTTCTTGTAGAAAAGGCTGTGTTGAGCTGGCTATGACCTAACAGAGGTACATACATTCTTAATGACAGAGAACATCTGACATATTAAAGGGTTGCCAAATTACGTAGAAAGATTACTCTAAAAGTCTTTTTTTAAAGCCTCCTCAGTCTTCACGTTCACATTTTAAGTTGCAAGTTTTGACAATTTGAGCCTTGCAATTGGAAATCGGAAAAGCCTAGAGCCATGAGAGCTTTACTGCCCCATTCATGCTCCAAGTCCAACTAGTCCCTCTGAGTTCTATCCTTGACAATTGATGTTAAAGTGGTGGACACTAAAGATCCCGCCTCCAGATGATTGACCTGCTCGTTTTGATTAGTTTAGCCGGGCAAGGCTTTGCTTTGATGTGGCAGGCCTGGTTTTCAAAGACTGGTGTTTTAATTCTTGAATGAACAGTCCTGGCTTGAAAATGGGTTATTATCATTCTAATATATCAAAGCCAACACATTTGCCACATTGCAAGTATTGTAAAACTTGTTACCGGTTAAACATTACATCTTATTGGCTGGTTTTACCTCGTCTTATGTTAGAAAGGCAGCACAGGGTTCAGAACGCCAAAAATGATATCTGCAAAATAGGCATAATGTATATTAAAATAAAATAACAGTATTCCCTTGATATATTTGATGTATTACAATCCACTTCGAAATGTACGCACTCTGATCCGCTTCATATTTTGCCCAGTAAATGTCCCACATTCAGATATAAACCATCAATGCAAAGCATCTCACACATGTTTATGCATCATATTGTGATTTTGTAGTGATGGTGGCATTCTCCTGTGGTAGGACTCAGGGCATGCAGTGGAACAATTATCTTATTCTTGTTTTATAGTACTGCTGTCATGTCTGCTTGCGTAGGCGCTTGCCTTCAGACTGCCTACAGAGTGAGGGGTTTTCAACCTTTGCAAACATGGTGTCGTGCAAGCCTCCAAAAGCTCAACGCCTCATAGATCAGCTGTACGTAGATGAGATGCTGGACTGGAGCAGGGAAGGGAGTTCACCAGTAATCGGACAAGCTTAAAGCAAAACATCTTTAACAACAAGTTAAAAATACAGCAGAGCACAGATGATGGCTGCAGTGGACACTTTTCATTGTTTTTTAACACTCAGTTTCACTTCAGCTCTTCATATGTTATGACTTTGCTGTTCTCCTGACATGTTTGAACAGCACAAGTAAGAGTAGCCCACAGGCTGGTTTTACCACAAACTTTGGACACTGTTTCCATTTGGCAGCAGATGCTCACTGCAGGTAGACGGGCTGTCCATAGCTCCCTACGGTCTACTAAGGCACTGCCAACAGGGAACCATGTTCAGCCCATTAAGCTGTCATTGGCTTTGTTTACAGACTCTAAGTTAACACAGTGCACATGGGCAGGTGGTGATGCTGTACCAGGCTCAGTATGGATAGGTCAGTGTATTCACACTGAGTATATAATACAGTAGGTATTCAAATTCAAATTCAAATTCAAATTTTATTTGTCACGTACACAGTCATACACAGTACGATATGTAGTGAAATGCTTGGACAACTGCTCGTGACCTAAAGAAAACAAAAAAGGAAAAGGCTATGAATAAGATAGGAAATAAATATGAAAACTTAAAAAGGGTAAATTTAACTAAGAAGGAATAAAATATAAATTAAGGTTAAAAATGAAATAACTGTACAACACAAATTAGAATGAAGGGTAAATTTAACTGGGAAGGAATAAGATAAAATATATAAATTAAAGTTGAAAATAAAATAACTGTACAACAAAATACACAATATAGAACTATATAAGAATGTATGAAGAAATATAAATATAAATAAATATATACACAATAACAGCAGCTGTACAAGTATTAACCGGAAATGAAGAATATAGTGACCAGTGTTGTGCAAAAAAACAATGTGTGCAAAAACAATGTCCAGAAAGTCCAGTGTGTGTGTAAGAACCATATGTGTGGGTCAGTACTGTGTGGTGGTGTGATTGAGAGACCATATCGCCTGCGGGAAGATAAGGTATCATAACAGTGCAGTCTGCATGCATCATGAAGTCTTAGCAAAGTGGCTTTTAAGTGTTATTAAAAAAGTTATAACATTGCACGTTTCCATGTTTCAGTGATAACAGTCACTGACACAGAGTGATAACTACATTATCCTACAGGGTAATTTACTGTTTGCTAACAGTGTGGAGAAAACAGTCAGAACAGAGAGCGACCACATTAGCATGACGAGATAGCTGAGCATCTTTGTTTGCCGCAGGTTACCGACTTGCACGGTCAGCCATTTTTTGTCCTTTTTTTCCCTAAAAATTCACTCCAAATTAGCCCCATTTTACATAATTGAGATCAAAACAGCCTTGTGCCTTATATGACCCTTAGATCTAAGCCATAATAAAACTCTGTCTCCATAAATCTTGCCCCCTGGTATTAGTTATAGGCAACAATCCGGTCGTTCAGTGATGACGTGACGAATCCTACTTCCAGGTCTAAAGTAGTCTGTGTTTAATATAGCTTTTGTGTTGTTAACATGTTTAATGTTTTGTATTTTCTTCTATTTAATCTGAAAAAGCTCCTAAAACAGTCAGTGAGCACTGTTGACCTCCCTTGGCTTTTATTACCGCTAATCATTTATTTAAGCTCAGTTTTTAAAACCTTAGGATGTAACTACACCCCAGCCCGTGCAGCAGTATTTGAATGACTAACCTCGTATTGTGGATGGATTATCTCAGTTGTTCTTCTGGCTGAAGTTTGGTCCTTTTACAGCATGCTGCCATGCGATTACATTTGTTCCTGACCACCGAGAACACTCACGTTAACTTTTATCGAGTGGGAAAAAAGTTAGCTTGTTTATATTATGCTAACATAGCTGAGTCGCTAGCGGTCACGTAGCACATCAAACGTCACTGCTGCTTAGTTTTCTGTCTTCATTTATGTTGGAAGTGATAGCAGAGCTGTACGTTTTAATTTGTTTCCAAAACCCCACAGTCAGGACATGCTATATTGTATTTAGATAGAAGCT